TCCTCAACAATATTTACAGGGCGACAATCTTTAGCTACCCAATAAGCAATAGCCTCAGTTATTTTGTTGTTGTTTTGCCTGGATAACGGCCCACCCCTCGCTCCGAACTGCTGCAAAGTTGTCTGCCGGGGACCTCCTCCTCCCTCTGAAGTTGCTGCCACACCGGGATGCTTCGCTTTCAGGTTATATACAAGTGATGAATTACTTCGGTGGTAATTAAATTCACCATTGCAAAGCACGCAAAATACTTTGGTTTTGTCTGAAGCACCATCTGGTAACATAAAGCGAAATTGTCCGTTTAAAAGTGTGTCTTTCTTTTTCTCCATTGCTAGCTTGACTGAGGAAACGGAAGTGTGGTATGGCAAGTCGGAAGGGACACTCTTCAAATTAATCGATGCGTTAATTTATTTTTAACGCGTCAATGTGAAAAAAATAACGCAAATAGTTAATGTGATCATTTTAACAGCCCTATTTTTTATATATATTTGTTTCCACATGAATCATTAGTTGACTGTTAAAAACRTCTCTCATTTCTCATAAAAAGGCAATGATGGCTTGTTTAGAAATAATATTAATTCTAGCTCCCTTCCACATAAATGCACTGAGAGTGTYACTCCTCGGTGAATAGCACTGAGTCTGCATGATTTATCAATATTGCAAATAAACTGAAAGAACGAACTTTAATATATTTAGCAATTGGACTGATCGCCACTGCTCTAAAGACCCACAGCTAATTTAAATGATAATCACAAAATGAAGCATATGAAGATTATTAAAGACTGTGATACCTCTAGGATCAATAGCCCCATATTCATGTTTATTTTATTTTATTTTATTTTAAAAATTGACCAGAATTTCCAAAAGGATCATCCTGCAGTCCTTAAGTAGACCTAAAAATATTGTCTGAGCATTTCAACGTCTGGGAGCTTTGTGTTCGTTCAGGCAAATAAGGATCTGTGTTTGTCCCTCTGTACTTAAAGTACTTTATACGCAGTGTTGCACTCATTTAAAAATGCATGCTGTGTGCCAATGGCCTCACTGTTACACAGCCTGCTTGCATATTGGCACGACTCTAAAATGTTTCCTGCAATACTGTGCTGAATTATTTAAACTCTGTCGTCACAAAAAGGAGCAAAAGAGGGAAGTTCTGTAATAAATGACCGATTGTGATGTCCTCTCCAGACCGAGTCTGGAAAATGTTAACTAAAGCAACCAAGTGGAGCTGATGCTTATATTAAATATAGATCTCTATAGAAATGTTTCTGTAACTGCGRGAGGCAACCCCTGCTGGAATTTATGAAGATTGTATGTCGTATGTCTGTCTGTCCGTCTGTCGTTCTGTCTGTGGACAACATTACTCAAAAAATTGWGGACGGATTGTCATGACATTTTTATCAYGTGTGTACTGCCTCAAGTAACACACCATTAAATTTTGGTGATGTTCCAGATCACGATGCAGACACAGGAATTTTTTTTCATKTTAACACCATTATTTCTTTTTCATGTACCAAGTGGGTTTCAGAGTGTCCAGCAGGTGGYCCTGTAGTATTGGTGTGTCCCTTTGTTCTAAGTCACACGTGYKATGTCATATTATTGTTCTRCATCATACCTTCACTGTTTGTGCACAGAATATGTCTGCTTACMTCTGTGTTATGACATTGATTCAATTTTATTACCTCCGCCAAGGGCGAGGTCAAGTTTTCGGTCGCRTATGTCTGCAAATGTTTTCACATAAATATCTTWGAATACATTGAAAGTTTGATTTCCATCATTTACTATTATGTCTAAATACATGCAACATGATGTTACTATATTTACTAYAAAGCACTGGAAAYGTGACTTTTCCAAGGGGAACCTTTTAGCATAACTGACCCTATTGCCTTGGCAGAGGTTTGCACTCTTCGAGTGCTTCTAGTTTCTTTACTGTTATTTAACCAGGAAAATCTCATTGAGATCACAGATCTCTTTTGCAAGGGAGGCCTGGGCCTGAAGGCAACCTATTGTACAGGATTTGGTCTGTGGGGGAAACTGAAGTACCCGGAGAAAACCCATGCAAGAACGAGGAAAACGTGTCAACTCYGCACAGAAAGACTCCAGGTCTGACCCAGGGATCGAACCCACGACCTTCTTGCTGTGAGGCATCTGTGCTAACCACTGAACCGTTGTGCTGCCAAAATAGCTGAAAATCAAATGAAGGATTGTTTTTTGTCAGTTTGTTTGCTTTATTCTAGATTCCTTGTAGAAACAKCTGTGTGTTTGCCCAATAATATTTAGATATATGTATTTTTTTTTATCATAACAGACAGCCGCCATGTGGAGTTCATGCTGAGATAGTGATGAGTTTTTATGATGGACCKGGGTTTGTCATATTTCTGAACTCTCCGACATGAGCATGCTGCTTTGGATATTGAAGCAAACTAACTTTGCGGGCTGATAATGCCACGATGCACACAGAGCATGAAAAATTCAAAATAATTTCAGCTTCTCCCTATTTGTTTGGCAGTCTACAGCTCAAGAGTTAATCCAGTGAACAGTGGCTTTAAGGTTTAAGTTTAGGATTAGGTTTGTTTAGGCTTACAGCTGCATTGGTCTGAGTCAGCGTAAGAGGCTGAGAGAAAGAAAGACTGTACGCAGATAGAAGATAAAGATGAGTGAGTGCACTTCTGCCTGAGCAGCAAGTAGTGGAAGAGAACGATAAGAGACGACCACTTTTCACAACATACAGGAGTACACTGTGTGTGTGTGTGTGTGTGTGTGTGTGTGTGTGTGTGTGTGTGTG